GAGAGCACACGGGGAGCCAGAGAAGAGCAGGCGCGGAAGTCTGGAGATGGGGTGGCCCCGACGTGACGTGGCCACTGACTGTGACCATCACAATTGCAATTCATTTTGTTCAAACTCCGGACACCACAGCCCTCGCCCTGATCCACAGCAGCCTCTTCCCGGATCGACGCAGCTCGGGGGAGCGGGGACCCTGACCTCCGCCGCTGGGCAGAGGGCGGGCCGAGGCTCCCCTCAGCCCCTCCCGTCTCGGGGGCGGAGCCGTGGTGGGGCGGACTCGGTGGGCCCGAGGATCTAGCGCTGCAGGTCTGCTGGCAAGTCTGCTCGGTAAAATGTGTCGTCCTCCTGTCTTGACGAATGCCATGAAAGGCTGGGTTTGAATTTAGGAATTTCATTTCCTCTCTGTTCTGTGGCAGAAGCGGGGCCCCGAGAAGCAGCCCAGCCCCCAGACCCAGTAAAGGGGCCCAGGTGTGTGCATGTGACCCCCTTGTGGCTGCCAGCCTGCCCGCCTGCACTGACTGTGCTCCCCAGAAACCGCCACCCCTGCCCCCCGCCGCGGTGCCCACCTGTGCGCCCACCCACACGCCCCACGCACACCCACAGCCTGGTGGGGCCTGGCGTGGGTAGGCTCCGAGGGCAGGCTGGGTCCCTGGTGCAGGGGGCCCTGGGGTCAAAGTGACCAGTGTGGCTTGGAAGACAGGGCACAGGCTCCTGGTGGGCACGTCTCCGCAGGCCCCAGATCCCTGGCCCCATGGGGTGTGGATCAGGGGTCAGAGCGGGACCTTCCAACCCAGGTCGCCGCCAGCCCCCTCCCCAACTGAAGGCAAGAACAGCACCGTTCATGGAAAGTAAGACTCGGGAAGGACAGGAAACGTACTGCAAGCCACGGAACTGGCTTCCACCTGAGGTCGCTGGGGGAGCGGGACGTAGATTTAGTGTGGCCGATGTCTTCCGGAAAGAGGGCGTGGTTTTCACTGCGTCCCTGCTTCACACTGTCAGAGACGCCTGCCTTACCTTTACCTAAAAACAACACTGTTAGACTTCGCGTTTCCAACAAAGTCTCCGGCTCAGAGGCCACAGGGGTCTCACCAACCAACCAAGGCTTGTAAGTCCCGTAAAATAATAAACACAACTCACAGTGTAGCTTCCACCCAAAACCTCGAATGCTTCCTGTGGGTCAGGCCGTGCCAAAGACCCTTCCTGACATGATCCAGTCTTTAATATTGTGAAAGAAATAAGAAAAACCGGGCAGCCTGATGTCAAAGCTGAGCAGGCAGCAGGAACTTGGCTCCACATAGGCCATCACTATTTTAAAATCATGTTTTCATTTCCTACTGTGGCTGAACTTTGGATGTGAGGAGAAAGGGTGGGGGGAGGGTGGTTTGGGGGGGTCGGGGGGGGAGGGAGATGTCCCAGACCATGGTCTTCACACGCTTGTGCAGATCACACCGTAAGAGAATTAAAACAAATCTCTCATTTGTTCTTCACAATTCTTCATCATGGATCTTAATATCTGCAAAGGCATGATGTTGGCATATTTTAAATCTTGACATTTTAAAAGAAAGCTGAAACACCACACTTTTAAATGTGCTCAGTACAATCGAAACGTGAGCGCCGACTGCCAACGTCGCTGGCCTTCTGTAAAACGGGCCTGGCCACTCGTCCTTCACCAGCAGAAAGTTCACACTGTTTCCTCTTTCTCCTTGAAGTGATATTTTTATTTGTTCTCCCCAAATTTTATCTGAAGGAAAAATATTATTATGGCTAAACGTCTTTGTTACCCTATGACACTTAGCTAGAATAGAAATATAGACATACCAGGCAGATTAAACATTTTTATTTTGACTTTCTGTGGACCCATGTCTCTCTCTCTCTCTCTCTCTCTCTCTCTCTCTCTCTCTCTCTCTCTCACACACACACACACACATACACACACTGACACACAGAAGCCCCCACTGCTCCCTGTCGGCCAGTGGTGATCCAGGACCATCCTCAGCAAGGAAGCCTCTTTCAAGATCGGGAAGGTACAGAAGGGGTCCTATTAAATCCATCACCCCCGCTGCCGACTTCCTATCCTGCCTGAACTCACACAGGCCCCAGGGCCTCCGCCCGGCGCCAGGCAGAGGCGGCCAGCACGGGCCCCGCCAGAAGCTGGAGCCCTGATTGCAGAAGTGGCCCCGTGAACGTGAGTGTCCACCCAACCTGTCCTGCCCAGCCCTGTCTGACAGAAGTCTTCACACCCTGGGGCCGTGGGCACTACTGAAATTCGGGATGAGTGAGAAAAATGCTTCTTCCCTGGAAAGAAGAGCAATTGCGAGTTAAAACAGGAGCTGAGAACAGCCAGGGGGCCCCGGCCCATTCGCCTACGGGTGGGCTTTGCAAGGAATGGGAGGAGAGTTGTGTTCCTCAGAGAGAGATGAAGGCCCGCCCCGCCCCCCACCCGGCACACGCTGAGCTCAGACTGTGGCCGTATTTGAACGCACGTCCCTGGAGCCGTCATCACTTCAGGTGAGGTCACACGTAATCCAATGTGACTGTTGTCCTTGTAAGAGACAGACACAGAGGGAGAAAAACCCCCTATGACAAGTGGGCAGACACAAGAGAGACACAGCCACGTGCCAGGGACTGCCATGTGGCCACCACCAGGGTCCCAGATAGAACCTCAGCGAGTTTCGACATCTGGCTCCCAAGCTGCGAGCTAAACACTTCTGTTGTGAGCCACTGACTTTGCAGCACTTGGTTGTGGCAGCCGCGGAGCACAAGCCCAGGTCGCAGCCGAGGGTCCGGACGCTGATGCCCCGCACAGCGCCTGGTCTGCAGACCCCACGGAAGTTAGTACTCCCTGGGCACGTCGGCTTCCAGGAGCCCCACAGGACGCTGCCCAGATGTCCCCAAAGGGAGGCAGGCAGACACCTGCCCCAAGGAGAGCGGGTGTCCGGACTCAAAAGCAGGGAGGGGCGTGGGCGGCAGGGAAGCCGCCCAGGAGCGTGCCCGGGACCGGAAGGTGGCTCCTGCCTGCGTGGCCACGTGCCTACCGGAAGCTAAGAACCAGCAAATGAGGAGAAAGGGTAGCTTCACCCTCCTGAAAATGAAAAGGATCAACGATCTTCCCTTGCTTCGAGTTCTGCTTGCACAGAATGGGTTAAAAATACGGTGACAACCATGTCTTTCTCTTTGACGTCACGTTGTGTGTTCCCACAAAAACAAGGAAATATTGACAAAGCAGAAAATGGCTGAAATCAGCGATAAAAGTGTCCAAGTACAGCTGTTTGTGATGGCTCTCAAAAGCTGGACTTTTTAAAAGAATTTTATTTATTTTTTGGAGAGGGGGAAAGAGAGAGGAGAGAGAGAGAAACATTGATGTGAGCAAGAAACATCTATTGGTTGCCTCTCACATACCCCCACAACCCAGGCATGTGCCCTGACCAGGAATCGAATGAGTGACCTTTCAGTTCAGAGGCCAGTGCTCAATCCACTGAGCCTCACCAGTCAGGGCAAAGGCCAGGTTTCTTATAATTCATTTACAAACCAATCCTTTAGTCTCTAGGATTGGATACACCCATTTCAAATCATTTCAAAGCTGATTCAGGAGCAGTGTTTTTTAAAAGCACTAACATTGCACGCTTTAGAGCTAAAAATCACAACCTTAACACAGTGGAAATATTTACATAGGGCCCATAGCAAGGGTTGTAAGTCACACTGAAATACCAATGACCTTATCTGCTCCAGAGCACGGCTCCTGGTCCTCCGCTCCTGCTCATTCTGAGAGCACACGCCGCCCACACCCCACCCGCACCCCACCCACAGCAGCGACAGGCACAGGGAAGGGAAGTGGAGTGAGGGGGACGGGGAGTGAGGGAAGAGGCAGCCGCAGAAAGCCCGGGCTGCCCGTCCCGTCCCCGTGCCCACCCGCGGGCCTGGCGGGAACCTGGCAGGGGGTGCGCCGTCGCGGGGGGCACAGCACCCGGGTTTGCCCTGGGCCTGCCTGGCTCCCTCCTCTGACAGCGGCTGCGCCAGCGCTTCCCTCTGTGGGGAGACAGGAGCTCGCAGAGCCTCCCCCCCGCCCCCGCCCCCTGGCAAGGCCCTCTCTGGCAGAAGTCAGTCCGCACGCAGGCCACCCACCGCGACTCGAAGTCCAAGAAGCGCATCTGGAGCCGCGCAGCTTAGGTGGAAGCCCTGGCTCCACTGCCACAAACGGAGGGCTTGGCAGGGATGACGAAGTCAGGGTGACAGCGTCTGTGTCCCCGACTCGGGACAGCACCTGGCCCCCAGCAGGCACTTAAAAGCGTCAGTTAATAAAAATGAGAGGAATGTCGTGTATAAACACGGTAACCAGATAAACTGTAATGACAGTATATTAAATTGTATTCATCGAAACCTCCACTAACACAGAGAGTAATAGAAGATGAACCATAAAACCCCCTTGTAACCTGCAGTGTTAATGCAGTTCTTGAGTTTGTACTTTGGCAAACCAAAGCAAGGCCACACCTAGACTTTGTCTAGATATAAATAAATGGCAGCGACCCAAAAGAAATGCCTCCTCAGCATAATTTTAAAACTTGAACATACTCAAGACAATTTTTCGAGCTCCCTCAAGCCTTCCTTTCTCCCATGGCGACGCCATGCGGTCTGCGTTAGCAACGGCCCGAGGGAGTGTGTCTTTACAGGAAGCCCTTGTAGTCTAATCATTTCTTGCTTTAATCCCTTTGGTTCTACGGTGCCTTTCCAAGACGCGCCTTTCAGGACGACGCTGAAAAGCACATCCTGAGCAATTAACCAAGTATTCTCCATGTCCGGAGGAAAAACTGAGAACCTTCCCCAGAAAATCCTTGACAGGTGAGCATCACAAAGCAGAATGACCATCATTTTGGTCGCGTCTGAGCTGCCTGTGGTGGAGTCACAACGGCACGTGTGGATCACAGCCCGCGGACCCTGAGTCAGGGGCCCTCCCAGAGCTGCGAGGCGCAGGTCAGGCCCCTGAAAATCCATGACAGGAGGCGCGGTTTTGTTCCAGGCATGCGTTTATTGAAACCGGAATCCAGGGTTCCTCTGCAGGGTGCTTCCCCACGTGGTGCGGCACCTTTCCTCACCCCGAAGGTTCACTCTAACTTTCAGTGCCAAAAGAGGCAAAAGGGCATACCATGTCAGTGGTTACAAAAATTTATACTCTATAATAAAACGCTTCCTTTCCAAGGTGTCAATGATTTCTGAAGAGCTCCAGCGTTCAGCAGCAGCTAGCGATCCCATGGAAACTTGCACAAGCTTAGCTAACTACAGAGATCGGAAAACTACAAACGCATCCCCCAAACCTCCACAGGGAAAAGGCAAAAGGCCTGGGGCAGAGAGAGAACCGAAGGTGTGTGACCCAGCGTTCCCAGTGGTGCTAGAATCCCTTCCCCCGCCCCCGCTCATCGCTAACAGGTCAAGGTCTTCAAAAATCAGATTCCAAATGTCCCACAATCTCTTTCAAATATGTGTTTCCATGGGTTAGGAAATTGGCATTTCCTTAGAAGAACACATAAACAGTTTTCGCCACCAAATGGGCAATTTTTAAAACTTGAGAACCTATATAACTGAAAACTTCCTTGCAATGGTATTTTTGAGCAGAGAGAAGAGACTGTTGACATGTCCTCATGGTTCACAAGTTTGTCTGCTTGTTTGTTGTTGGTGCTTTTTACTAAAAGAAGAGAAGCAGTCTCTTTTCTACATTCTATAGGCCCCTTTCTCTTTTGACCACCTGTTTCAGGAAGAATAATTGTTTAGAAATCCTTACACTATCATTTCCAGGCCTTTTCTTAATTTCCTTGGAAAAGAAACTAAACTGGAATCATACAATACCTAGTCATTCAACTAGATATTCTCTTCCTCACGCCATATAGACCACGTGGGCCTGAATGATTGGCACACTGCATGACTCTGCTAAACAGTCGGAGATTTAAACACTAAAGACAGTCACACATCCATTCGACAGGCACACGCGGTGGTATATTTGAAAAGCCAGACATATTTTTAGAAGATCAACAGTAAGTGAATTATGTAGTCATCGAACAGCGAAATAAAGTTAATAAAGAAAAAGGCACCTCGCGAAAGTTCAAGAGGGGAGAGGAGAGAATGGTTCCTTTGGGTTTGGTTTGTTTCTAACGGAGGAGGAAAGGGAAATGGGTGTGTTACAATTATTTTCCCGGTGAAGGCTTCTGTCAGTTGAAGGCGCGACCTTGGGCCTCATTCTTTCCGATCCAAAGCAGTCTGTCCTTTCATTGGCTTCTGGGGAGGGGCTAGTCTTCTGACATGTATACGTGGTACATCAGGCCCACGGCCAGCGCTGAGATGGCTGGGATCACCCAGTTGGTCCACCAGCTGGAAAGGAACAGCAGTGACGCTCGCACGGTGTTCTCAGCTCTGCATCTCCGAGCCTCCCAGTTACCGTGAACGTCACTCTCTAACTCCCCGGGCGGGAAGACGCTGTTGCTAAAAGACAGCTGGCACCCAGGCAATTCCTCTGTTGCTCTCACCTTATGAGAAAACTAATGACCACCACACCCTCCCCCGACCTCCACTTACATCTATTTGTACAAGCGTGTACAGAGAGCTAGGGACCACTCCCCCAGAAGGTGCTACCGCCTAGGACTAGGGACTTTTATCGAAAGGCCATCAGCCCTGGGTATGTGTCACAGGTTCACTAAGAGAATACCCCCTACAGGTTTTATTCTAGTTCCATGTATTCGTTAGGAACTTAAAAATGGTGCTACACTGAGAGCCAGCTGACCAAGGGCCTCCCCGCAGAGGCGCCGGCGGCAAGCGCCACAGCCAAGGGTGGGTCCCAGGCCCAGAGCGGAAGGAGAGGCGAGGGCTCTGGGCCGAGGGGCGACTACGGTCGCCACCGGCATCGCCACTCCGCCGCCGGTGGTTCTGTTTCGAAAACCTAATGTTTACACGCATGGAGTAGCTTGGCCGTGTTGACAAAGAGCCTGCGCAAAACACCTAACCTGTGGCCCATGGGTGGAGGGTCACAAGACCCCGCTCATTATACTGTTCGGTCCTGAGGTGCAGAATTACAGATCAAATCAGGGAGAGTCCTAGACATGAACCTACCCCTTCTTAGGGGAAAGGAACTCATACAGAGGTTTCAGAATCTGAGCAAAGCCAGACGGCACCAAGGGGCACATCCATTTTCTGCCGCACATTTTCCATTCTTCCCCCGCCCCGCACACCTCCGCCCATCCAAAGGCCAGCGTCAATACAACAGTTCCATCTGCGGGACGGGAGGGTTTCGGGTGACTTTTCATCTTGGGGGGCCTTCAGTGTTCCTTTCGGGAGAAGCCGTGTGACAGTGAAGGGGGCGGGGGGGTGGCCAGGAGGCAGGGAGGGTACAAGACGGGAATTACCTGAGAGGGTGGAATAAAACAGGCACCGTCTGCGGGGGTGGTTTTGAGCTTGGGGCCCCAGAATATAGGCATCTGATGGCAGTTACACCAGTCAACGTAATAGAGCTGCCAAAAATGTTCCCGCGTTCTTGAACTAACACAGACATCCAGTCCACAGAGCACACAATGCGTGCCCCACACGGGTTAGCGGGCTCAATCTTAGGCCCGTGGCGAACGGCCCAAGCTCAGAGAGACGGGGTCGCCTCGGCTGTGGGAACTGCCCGTGTGCCGGCTGCGGAAGGCAGGACAACGTCTGCCTGCGGCGTAAAGGGAGGCTCGATGCGTCCCATCTGTTCCTCAGGGCAGGCACAGCGGGAGGGCGGGGTTCGGGGTCACTCTGCAGAACGTCCACATCTAGGGCTTAGCGGGGTGCACCGAGCAGCGGGGTGCCGAGTGGAGACGACCCCTGGGGTTCCTGAGGTCCCTTCGAGTTTATGAGCCTTCCAACCACGGTGACAATGGAAAAGAAAACAACCACATACCTGGAATTAGAGTCAACTGTAGTGATGAGAGTTTCCTACAATGGAGAGAAAAAGTGAAACAAGTTACAGAGAACAACGGACTAAAAACCTGTTTTAAAATAAGATCACAGTGTTTCGCTCAATGCATTCTTCAAAAGACATTGAAAGGGAAAATTACATCATACACTTCTCTCACTAAAATGCCTAATTTCCCCATTTTTTTCAGAAGAAAAAATTTTAAGAATGATGTATATCTAAATTACTTACAAACACAACCTAGATAACTTGAAATTGTTAAAAACTAATAGACTACATAAAATATCCTGTACACAACAGATAATCTAATACTTCAACATAGAAAAGGACAGCAGATATGATTTATACACACACACAACCCCACCATTACCTTTAGCAAGAGAATTGAATTCTTCAAAACCATGAATGAAATGTTCAGTTAAAAATACTTATTTCATTCCAATCTTACGTGAAGTCAAAGTGTTCCCAAATTATATTAAAAGGAACATGTCAACTGAAAAGAAAAAATTAAGAACTGCCATTTAAATTGCAGCGCTCGGGATCACCTTTACTCTGACAAGAGCGTTCTAGAAAGGCACCAGAGGCCTCGGGGACCGACCCCCCACTGTCACCCGCCCAGCGCCCTCTGAGAAAGGACGCCCTGCACGCTGGGGCCTTCCTCAGCCTGCCTGTTGTCCACCTCCTGGCAGCTTCTGAGAGGACTTGTCCACACAGTGAAGGTGAAAGTGAACCGAGAAGACTCTGGGAAATGCCACCTCCCCAAACAGCGGAATAACCAGGGCCTCCTGAGACGCAAATGCGTCCAGGCTCACAAACCTGTTAGGAAGCATTGTTTTGAAATTCCACACCAGCAGAAGCATTAGTGCCTCAGAGGAAGGTGGCTGGTCAATAACACAGCCGGTTAGAGCTCGTCTCTGCAGTGTCCCAAAGCAGGGGACAAACACTGTTAGCAAAATGGGCAGCGGGGCACAGGGTCTGCATTGAGGCCAAGCTCCACACAGCCAGGCGTGCGAAAGTGCCCGTGCACGGGCAGAAGCCTGTTAGGGACGAGCCAGCAAAAGCGGTTCTGCGACCCACCAACCTGGGAACACGGCCGTTAACATTCCTGACACAGGAGTGGGGAGAAACAAGTCGTCAGAAAAGAAAACTTGACAGTTATTATCTTTGGGAGCAACATTCAGTCTCAGAGACTACAAACAGCATTCACCGCTACTGCAAGGCGATTTTTCAAATTTTGTATATTACAGGTAAAATTAACAAAGATTCTCAGAAGTAACTAAAATATGCAAAAGTATTATTTAGCTATTGGAAGAAAGACACAATCAGCTCTGAAACCCAATATGGAAGGAAAGACATCCTTGTCACACTATGTCACGCCCCATGTAGCGACCACCAGGCAGACACGCACCGTGACTTGGTTAGGCGGAGCACAGGCCATGCGCTTCCCCGAGCTGCTGCAAGCCCGCGGCTCAGCTGCCTGGCCCGGCCCCGCCTCTGGCGAGGCCTGAGCACCGAGGCCAAAGCACTGCTGTGCGTAGTCACCTGCCGTAGCAACGGCAATCTTGGAAAGAGCTGAACTTTAAAAGATCGTGTGCGTTGATCACCTGGTGTCTGTTAGGCTCTCCCCCAGCATGCTTGAGGGTTAAAGTGAGTCTGAATTACCCGTGAGCGCTCTGGTGCCAAAGAAAACGGGCTTTTCTGTCCGTGTTCAGAAGCGGCTCGGCGGGGCTTTGGGTATGTAACTAACCGGCAGGCCAGTGACAAATGGAGAAAACACCATGGCTTTTCCTACAGGCTCCGCCGCCTGTTCACTCTGTGGCCTTGTGAGGCTCCATCTCAAGTGGGTTAACAACGAAAACGGTCCACAGTAAGCTCTAGATAAAAGCGTGCAAAGCCCACCGAGCTTCGGCGAATCAAAGTCATCTCATGTGTAAGTTCACCGAACGTGGCCCATCGGTAGCTGGAACTCTTCCCTGAGAATACTGTTAACAGATCGACGCCTTTCATGCGAAGTCGAGAGCTTACATAAGCTTAAGAGGCTACAACTGGCAGACCTGCAGTGGCTGCTGGCCGCATTGCTGCAGTGTGACCTTGAACAAGGTCAACGCTTGGGACAAGGTCTATGTCATTGTCTTCACTTCCCCTGGATCCCACAGGGATGCCTTGAGAACCGGATAAAGTCATATACACAACAATGCTTTGAAAACTACAGCCAAGAAAAGGTACTGCCAGCTACTAAAATCTTCCATGGAAGCAAATATGACAGATGTGGATTTGTTTAATCTAAAATGTATCATTTCCATGTCTACAGAGAACCTATCTTAGCAGCCTGACTTCATGTTTTCCTTTGGGCAGATTCAAGTTAATAATCTTCGGTGTGCCTTATTTCACAATTCAGCTATTTGGGTGTTTTAAACAGGCAACATTTCAGAACTTCAGACCCCAGCATACACTGATCGGTCTGCAAACGGGTGGAGGGTTACAGACACGCACAACCAAAGCCGTCCCTAAGGACACGCTCTCCTTCTAGCAAACCAGAGGCACAATCTAGGAAGGTGGTCACGGAGTTTCCTCCACAGCATTTGTGTACGGCCTCTAGGAAAAGCGCAAGTGCTGGTTCCGCCTTCCTCCAGTGCGGCTCAAAGGTGAGCAAAGTCACACGTACTCTAAGAGCAAACAGAGGAGAAGAGAGCCGGTTGCACAGAAAGGAGACCTGCTGGCGGGGGGGCCTGAGCCTTCCCTGTGCTTTCTGTCGTGGCGTCCTGCTTCAGGACAGAGTCGGGCCTGCAGTAGATCTAAGTTCACTCGGTGAGTCTTATCAAATCCTCGTTTGACTATAGCTGAACGATTTGCACCAAGATTATTAAATACAGAACCCGTAACAGGAGAAAATACACTTTTCCCCAACAGGCTTTGGAGACAAAACAAACGGTTCAATGCACCTCGGAATTTCAGTGGTTTAAAAAAGAGCCTCAAAAAAGGTGCTGAAGCCACATGAACTAAGAGCAAAGATTCTACGCAATGGTTACAGAGGCAATTCAAAGCCTAAAGTCCATTTGTTATTTCCCCAAAGCACTGCGATCACCCACGCTGACCCACAGCCTTCCCTGAACCGGGAAAGGAGGATGCGAAGGAAGCTGCATCCTGCGGACTTTTATTGTTCTCTCTGCGGTGCCAAGGTCAACAGCGCCTTCATGCTCTGTGGGATTAATTCCTTGACTTTCTTGCCGATTAAATTTAGACAATGTCTTGTCAGCAGCCGCTGGCAAAATGAGTTTACCAGATCTCAGCGAGAGCCCTGCGCAGTCTTGCTGCTGCTCCCTCTCCTCTAATAAAACCAAGGGCACAATCCAAGACAGAAGAATGATACTTCCTGCCGCTTGTTTGAAGCAAAACTTCCCCCTCCCCCCCGGCCCATTAATTACAGGCCTTGGCCTTTCATTACTACTTTTCCTGCCTGCACTTTTCCGGGCCTTTGGCTGCCCATTCTTACTGTGGATTTATCCTCAAATACGAGCAAGGTGATCCGCTCAGAGAGAAGGCCCGGAGCACCAGGGCACAAAACTAGTGCTCCTAGAACTGTTTTCCTTTCCTATGGAAAAACGCACCCAAAAGTTATCATCTCATTAAAACAACATTTACCCAGGAAGCATTCACTGAACATCGGCGACGTCCCAGAGATGTGGAGATGGGGACAGGGGCTGTGCCCTCACAGGCTTAAGCACCGAGACCTCCGCCCCACGTTAAGGTCTCTGAAGACGACACGGTGTCACCGCTTCCGCTGCAGAAGTGCAGTGGAATTACAACAAGCAGCTCTCCAAAATGCGTCCGCGGATCATCCCGATGGGAAAATGATTTGTAAGTATCGAGCATCCCATGAAGAGAACACACGACTATCCTAACAAACATAATGACCAGTCTGTGCAAATGGAAAGGTTTGCTGGGCCAGCCCAGCTGCCCCGTGGGCATCTAACCTGGCAGCGCACCTGCGCTGGCCTCGGTCTGGCCTGTGGGAGCCCCGTGCCCTCTGCTTTGCAGGGATCTCTCTGGGGACGGTAACTACTGCCAAGGAGACCCTGGAGTTGGCCACACTTACCACAGGCTTCTGAATCTTTGACCAGTCATCCTGCAAGGAAAAACAAAGTGCATTACGGAATGGAAAGTGTCTACAGAAACGCCGCTTCCAAAGTGCTCGCTTACACTGAGGTTTCCAAAACACATTCCTGTTCGGTAGTTATCATTTTAGGATCATCTACCTAGGCTGTTAAACACGATGTTTCGTCCTTCTGACCTGACTGCAAAAGTCAGTAGCAGGTGAAGTGCTGAGAGGTACCCTGCCCCCGAGCCCCAAAGGTCGGAAGGGTTGTCCGGAGGGTCGTGCTTACATGTCCATGTGCGCGAGCCTTTATTAGGCTCGGGTCCGATCTTTATCGTAGGGGACAGCTGAGCAATCAGATTCTTCCCATTTATCCTATCAAACTGCCTCTAGGATGTGTGTATGTGTGTGTACGTGTGTATGTGAGTATGCATTGTGTACATGTGTGTGTATGTGTCTGAGTGTGTGTGTAATGCGTGTGATGTCCTCAGTGGATGCCTGCGATCTCCCAACTGTAGGCTCATCATCTACTTAAACCTCCAGCTGAGTCAGTTCAAGGTCAAGCGCATCTAAAGGCCGAAGGCTGGTGAGCCCAGCAGGCAGAGGAGACCGAAATGCTGCTGGCAGGGCCTAAAAACCCAGGGCCCTCCCCGCCCGAGCTTCCAAACGGGAGGAAGGACGGGGCGGAACGCGGTAAGGGAGGCCCCTCCGACTGCCGTAAAACGGCTCCCCTTTGGTGAAGGAGGAAAATGAAGGAATGTGGGTGAATAAAATCTCCGGATGCGAAACTTAGTTCCTCAGAGTGCGATCCCCCACCACCAAAACCCTCCCCCACTCAGGTGGACAAGGAAATGCTCCAAAACGGCCCCACCCCAGGCTTCCCCGAAGAGCCCCCCCAGCCTCCCCTTCAATCTCCGCTGCGGCAAGACGCCCCCGGTCACCCTGCGGAAGCTCCCGGGCTACTTACTGGATGCAGCTCCCCGATGAGGTACGTCTGGGACAGCTCTCGGGCATCCGTGGAGTGCCCAATGTCCTCGAAGTTCTCGGTAGCATCGCCCCCGGCTTGTTCCCGCAAGACTTCTTCCCCACCAGGGTGCTGCACAAAGGACACGGAGACAGACCAAAAAAAGCATAATAAATATTGTTTTCCAAGCAAAGGAGATCGAGAAAGCGGCCAGTTTATTTAACCAAATAGGCTGCTCCAGAATTCACAGGTGACAACACGTGAGTATAACGTGTCCACAATGTGGATGAAAACATGCACCCCTCTGCGTGCCAACGCCTCCCTGAAAGTGTGGGAGGAGCCCGCTCCCATGGCAGGTGCCCTTTCTCCGGGTTACTCAATGGCATTGAGCATTAGGCAGGTATTTTTAATCCTTTGACAACATCCTCTTTGTTTTTCCATAAAGCTCTCAAAATTGCTCTTCTTAATCTTTACCGCATCTCTTTTTCCTTGGGCCCTATCCCTTGACCTCTTAAGCCTAGGTGTGAACATATGCCATTTTACCTTAGGTGACAATGCCTCTTTGACAAGCACTCTGTGAACCTGCCCCGGACAGAGAGGGTACAGGCGGCTGGAGAGGCAAGAGTGCCCCTGACTCTTGAAGAACTAACCTTCTAGTCAGAAGGAAAAGAAAAGCAAGTGGTCCCCTTGACAGGGGACAGAAGCACAGAGGAAGAGTCCCGTTCTACACGGGCAGGGGCAGGAAGGCCTTCTCGGCGATGAAAGCTTCCCAGTGCTCTTAGCGCTTCAGTGGTCAAACTAAGGATGGTCACAATGCAGGGAGGGGACTGATGGCAGAGTCCAGGCACGGACACAGGCATGCCAAGGGAAGGAGAGGTCCGCCAAGCAGAGAGCGGGCGCTTGGTTACATCAGCGTAAATACCTTCGTAGGGGAGAACACTGTCTTCAATTGAGAGCGTCACTGTTGCCTTAGATCAAAGACACCCCGCCCTTCAGCAAAGCACCGGTGTGTGTCCAGTAGCTAAAGAAAACACCTCTCGCTTGCACAGTGGACTGTAGTCTCTTCTTAATCTCTGTCAGTAGTGGACGGGGTAAGGCCCATAACATTTTAGAAAGGCAAACAAGGATTCTGTTTTGAAACCTGTTTCTCCTCCTCCTCTGTTTAAACACATCATTGCGAAACAAATTTACTTTTTTTCCTCCATTATTTGTAAAAGTAACCCATACTCATTATAGAAAAATTAGAAAATACAAAACGAAAATAAAAATCACTTAAATCACCCATAATGTTGCTGTCCAGAGAAACCTGGATACGTGTGTGCGTGTGTGTGTGTGTGTGTGTGTGTGTGAGAATAATTTTAAAAAGAAAACGGATCGCTCCCAAATGCACCCAGTTTCGTTAGATAAAAAGCAGATTAGCACACACGACACAGAGAAGTATGCTTAGGGGTTACTCCTACTACATGAACTTGGGAAAATAATGGTACTTACATAGTTTCCGGGGCTTAAATTTGTTGCCCTATGTGTCTGCTATATAACATAGGACCAATAAATATTATCCAGCATCTTTATTAAGTATTTTCCAATCATTACTCCTCACTGGCTTTTTAAATGGCTGCATACCGTTACAGCGTGTTGCTATTTCCAAAGGTATTTAAGCGTCTCCTATGGGGGCATTCAGGATGTGGCAAGCCCACTTAAGCAAGCACAGGATGCACGCTGGAGGTACAGGCAGGTGGCAGGCTCACCCCCAAAGCCAGCGGGAAGCTTCCAGGTGCGCCTGCAGGCTGTGACAATGGCAACGTGGTGTGCGGACCTGGGACATCGTTGGGCAGGGGAGCTATGACGTGGCTAACTCAGCACTCACAGGTTATGCAAATTCAGCCAGCCCTTCCTTCTGGGCGCGGGCCTTCGTTCCTGATTTCCGTAGCTGGGGGTCCCTGTGAGATTTTGGGGGGCAGATAAATCTCCCAGAGGAGACCCCCAGTTTCCAGCACAGCCTGCCTTTGAAGGGAAAATGTCAAGCAAAGCTAAAAACACAGGCTGGCCTATCTATCGATCGATCTATTGATCTATCTATCTATCTATGATTTAGACCCTAAATTATTTGTCAGGCAGTTTTCCAAGGGGGGAGAAAAACAATGAAAGAAACACCTTGGGTTACACTGGTTTCACTGAACACCACTGAAAAAAACTATAGCATAGAATAAATGAATCGATACTAAGATACTTTTGCCCTTTCCTAAAGATTTCTTGAACAATTAGTAAGAAAAACAAAGCCTAAAAACTGATTTTTTGAAACAAAGTAACTCCAAACTTGATAGGACAATAAAAAATACAGGAATGATTTATTGCCATACCCTATACTTTCCTTCAAACGGGGGAAGAAACAGACAGGCAGCCAACAAAACGACATCTAAATCACAAAACATGGTGCTTCATCTTGTCACTCTTCTCCCACCTGTTAGCAAATTTGCGTGACAAACACACAACGTCACATCTTAAGGCTTTACTGACTTTGCTGTCTCATAAGTGCAAGACCTTGTGGGGGACACACAAAAGTGCACAAAAAATCAACGTGATCTGATCCCGCAGAAGCACGCAGTTCATTTGAGGTTAAAGAAATGACACCAGAGTGACTTTCAGCCTTCACGGGCACCGCCTCGGAGCTGCGGTTGTTCTTGAGTAACCCAACTGGCCCTGAGTGAGCAGCCAGACGAGGCAGGAGCGTGCCCTTGCACCAGCCCCCGGCGGGGGGGGCGGGGGGGGCAGGAGTGAACGAGTCAGGCCCCTGCTGCGCGGCCGAGAGCTCGCACACCGGCCTCGGGAGACCGCCGACCTAGGGGAGAACTGGAGAGGCGCTTCCTCTCCTGGGGGGGGCCACGGGCCAGGGCAGGGGTTCGGCCCGAACCAAGCTGCCCTAGAAGAAAAAGCAGCACCTGTCCCCAGACTTGTCCAGGAGGGAGTGGCCCTCAGAAAAGCGGACGTTGGTCGAGGACCAAAGGGCTCTTCTCCACGGCTCTGGGGCAGGTCTCGGGATCAGGTCTCGGGATCAGGTCTCGGGATCAGGTCTCGCCTGTTTTGCCGTTTGCCACCCTGGTGCCTTGAGGGGGAGGGTCAGAGGCGCCTGTCCGTATAAATACAACGCAGAAAAGCCGGCGTGCCAGTTCGTGCTGCCTTCTGTGTTTATAGTAATTTAACATAAAGTAATAATAGCTTTACGGCTTTAGTCCTCGTCTTACAATCATTAAAAGTCTGAAGGGGTCTCTTCAGCCTTTTCAGTTACACTTTACTTATGGTGAGAAATACAGTTGTAATTGTACTTGTAAATCTGAGGATTTATCCACGTCAAGGGTCCGCCAAGTACAATATGAAAATGAGAAAATTAGAAAGGATGCAGAAAACAAGAAGTGTTCAACGAGTGTCAATAACTTCAAGAAAAGGATGGTTCCTGCCACTGAGAGTCAGCCAACTAAGCAAGACCTTCACCTTCACGGGCCGGTCCCCACGGCCCAGGCCTGTGGGGGCGGGGGCGCCCCCACCCGTCGGCCCAGGGAATGGCACGCACTCAGCCTGTGTGGGGCTCGGTGATATAAAAGGTATAGCCCTACTTTCTAGAAAAAAAGTAAGAGCTCAGAATGGAAGAACATGTTACGAGCTTGGTAAGTTTTTGTCCACGGGGCGCCAAACACCCGAAAGGAATGAAGCGGTGTCGCCAGCCCTGTGGCCGGTGCTCACAGACGGGGCAAGCGCGGACTCTCCGCCACCTTTCACGAGCAGTGGCACCGCACTCCCAGGCAAACGCGGCGGACGCCGCGACACGTCCACACGGTCGAGCAAACGGCTCCGCTGTCCCCTTCCAGCGGCGCTGTGACCCGGCCGTGACCCCGCCAACCCTTCCTCTTTCGGGGCCGCTGCAGCGCGGAACCTGCTGCAGCGCGGGACCTGCTTTCATGCGACAACCGCGGAGTGCAGGCGGCGGCCCGGCGCTCTGGGAATCGCTTCCCGCAGGAGCGAGGCCGCGGTATCGGGCCCACAGCGCCCCCAGGGCCTCACAGGCCCCGCGAAGGGCTCCGTGGCCGAGCAGGTTCCGAGACCCTCGCTGAGCCGGGTGCCCGCGCTCGGAGCCGCGCAGCCCAGCAGGCGCGCCACTCAGCCTTTCTCCTCGCAGGGCGCACCGCGAACCAACTACTGAAACTCTGCGGCGCGCCAGAAAAGTGGTTTTTTGCTGATCTGACAAAAAATAGGCATCATTTTGATGGATTTCCAAAAAAAAAATTATAATAATAATAGTAGGAATTACCTACCCTTTTTGCTCCAAAGTGATTTTTTAAAAACTCAGGTGCCTATACTAGTGTATTAGTGTATTAGAATGTCCCCAAGAATTTACCGGTCAGATGAAACCTTATTATGCAACGTGACCAATAAGATGCAGCTCTATTACATGAACTACTTATATGGTTCAAGACAGACATTTATACCGGACGGCTGTTGTTGTATTGGCTGTTGTCATTTTTTTATTTGACAATCTAAGGGAAAAGAGGTCAGTGTCCCTGACTAAATAGGCAATGCATTTTTAAAAAGGTTTTATTTACTTATTTTTAGAGTGAGAGAAAGGGAGGGAGAGAGAAAGAAACATCAATGTGCAAGAGATACATCAATTGGTTGCCCCCCACACATCCCCAACTGGGGACCTGGCCCGCAACCCAGGCCTGTGCCCTGACTGGGAGTCGAACCAGGGACCTTTCAGTTCACAGGCCAGCGCTCAATCCACTGAGCCACACCAGCCAGGGCATGGTACTGCATGTTTTAAAAATTCTTGCAGCATACCATTGAAAATCGCTACTCTAGGTCATTACAAAAAACAAAAAAAAAGTGACCCAAACTGAATGGGCAACCCTCCCCCGCCCCCCTGCGGCCACACCAGGGCTGCCTGAGTGGTGAAGGCCAGTCCGGGGCTGCTGCCTCCCCTCCCCACTCCTTCTAACCTACTTTGGTATAACTCGTAGTGACAGCAATATGACATGCAACATGTAGCATTTCTCAAACGAAAACATGAGTCCAATTTCTCACACACAGAATAAAAAAAGAATATTGGACTAAAATAGCAGAAGATGCTTCCCCAGAGCAAA